ACGTAACACTTTTTAAAAATCGATATCACATTAGTACGTAGAATATAGAATCAGCAGAGTTTGTTTGTTGTTATTACATACTGCAGTGAGGTTAGGTGGAGAAGTTGATCTGAAACGAATAGAAGATACTACGTGTAACTAAACACCATTCTAGCTGCCCTTAGGGTAAGTCCTATAGACCCTTCCATTCTCGATTGGTATTACGCCCGACAAACTAAGTACGGGTAGATGTAGCCCAAGCAATTGTTTTGTAGACAGTACAATCACACAGTTTGTGAGGAAATGTAAGACCAATCTAAACAATTTTTTAGCAAACTCTTAAAGTGGCTACTCTAGCTTTCTCTCTGTCAGGTTAGATCGAGGTTTAAGCCATTAGTGATGAAAAATGCCTAGTATTACTTAATCTGTGCATGTCTCATGCGTTCATCACTAAAGATTGACGTGATGGAAAATACCCAATAATCAATGTCTAACCTGACACGAGAGCAAAGCAGGTACCCCTACACCACGTGATGCTCAGGCGTAAACTAACCTTGGTTTTTGCACTTTTGTCAACCTGTGCGTACACAGGGTCGAACTCCACTTGTTTATTCGCTGATTTTTTTTTCTTGGACTTGTCAACCGTGGCGTAGATAGCATTAGTTACGGTTAGCTGTTCATCTGGGTCAATTTTAGGATCCAGAATCTTTTCTCCTGGCTGCTGGGTTGCACTATTGGGAGCATTTTCATACTGTGTATCATCAACATCATCTTCTCCAGTGTCTTTGTTATCAACGGATTGACATACTTGCCCCTCGTATTTTTCAGTAGCTTCATATGGTCCAGGATATGCTGGTACAGGGTGAGAACATGGTGACATGTAATCGTGTATCTCAGCATAGGTKGTTGTTTCAGGATTTTCAAAACGTGCATGGYCATCTTTTATATCAGCATATATAACGGCATCGGTCTCGGTTATTTGCTCGGGCATGGACGAGCTCCCTTCATTGATATTTATGCATCTAATGCTGGCCATCTCTGACGGTTGTCGTCTGTTAAAATTGTATTATATATACTTATTTCAATAAAGTTAGTCACCAAAAACCTAGAAAGCTGTGATCGCTGAGAATCATGGGAAATATTTCATATCCAACAAGTAAAGCTTTTGACACAAACTGCAGCAGTTGAGGATGCTCAGAGGAGGTGAACTTGTAACTGGTAGAAGATCTCAAGTCCATCAACAGTTATCCAACAAGTAAAGCTTTTGACACAAACTGCAGCAGTTGAGAATGCTCAGAGGAGGTGAACTTGTAACTGGTAGAAGATCTCAAGTCCATCAACAGTTATCAAGCGGTTGAAACATCTAAAATGTATCTACCCATAATCCTTATCGGTCTCAGCTTTGTAGCTTTTCAGGTGACTAAGTTTATTGAAACAAGTGTATATACTGATTAAAACACCGATAGACAACTATTTGGGAAAAAGTTGAAATGAAGAATTGCTGCATGTAAGCAAACGAACTAAGAATCAATCCATATAATACTAGTACTTACTGGCTAACTTCGTCTCGTTCAGAAGTTCCTGGAATATTAAATAATATGTATGTATTCTTTAATTA